TAACTAGTCTTTCTTGCTTTTTAATTTTTTATCACTTGGCTACTTGTCATTAACCGGGAAAGTTGTTAAGAAAATGTATAGATGGTACAGATGTAGAACTTGATGTATTTGTGGCAAACTTCTCTAACAAATCTAGTCCATGTTAAATTTTGAATAATTTTTTTAGAATTTTTTTTGAATGCGTGGTTTTGCTGGTCTTCAAAGTACTGTAAATATTGTGTTGTGGCACTAATTGGACTTGTTTTAGGTCTTTCTATTCAGCTTAATGGACATGTCGTAGTGACTCACCTACAAGGCCACACTTAGATGGTCGACTAAGGCTTATAAAGGACTTTTAAATTTTTATTATTGAATGGCCTAATTTTTCAAAATTATATTAAATAAGATCTCATTTTAATATTTGTCTAATGGTTTCAAAAACCTTGAGCCCTTTATTGTTATAAGGTTTTAAAAATTGATATATAGAGAATTTTTTTTTATTTTTATATCGATATTTATTAATACACTCCTAATTTGATAGTTCCTTTCGAAAAATTTCAACTTTTGAATTAGATAAGTAATTATGGCACTTGAATTTAAATTTGAAAACATTAATTTAAAAAATGCTCCTCTATTCTCATTTTTAAATCAATTTATAATTACTTCATAAGGGAGAATTTTAAAAACAATTAAATTTAAAGTCTTGACTTTTCAAAATGAACATATATTTTGGGACAACCAAAAATAGAATAATGGGAATAATAAAATGGGATGGAAGGAGTAGTAAATTGAAAATTATGGATATGTTCGTTTAACTTTTAATAATTATTTGACAATGATTATATAAATATTTATTTTTGATAAGTGCCACCACATGAGTCTCATACCGCGAGGGATTTAAATAATCATTGGCCTCTGTTTGATCACTTGTGGCCATCTGTTGTCATGGATCTATTGACATTTGTTCTATGCGAAGCAAAGTGCTGTACGGAAATAAGTGTTACATTATTGTGGGAGCCACCTCTATAATCCGTACGAGCCACCTCTTGAATCCGTACCTCTATATTGTCATGAATCCATTGACCTCTATTCTGTTCTGCACCGTGATTATGGTTATATATTTTTGTATAATATCATATGTTTTTTTAAACGAATTTTTGTTTTAATATGAACAACTTATTTACTCTAATAGAAAAATATTCTATTTTATCTATTTTAAACCTAAAGTTTATCCACGGTAATTATGCTCTCAGTATAATATTTCTCACTCTGTCATGTGTTTATAGTTGTTTACCAATTTTCAGGAAATAATGCAATTCAAAAATAAATTTTGGAGAGTCTTAGACGCGAGGTTACGAAATAGACACACATAACACTTTTATAGTATTTATAATTCTATTTTTCATATCTAAAGATCTGCCTTTTTGTTTATTAAATTTTGTTATAAAAAAAATAAAAATTCCAATAATTATTTTAATACTCTTACTTAAATATTATTTTCACTTCTATTTGTTTATTCGGTCAAAAATTGACCATAAATAACATCAATTACTGATCATCATAATACTTAACTTTGAGTGTGGGAGCAGGTCAAGACAATATCACAACCAAGACAAATGTGTCAATTAACATATGGCACCTGGGCGTTTACGAAAATAAATGTCGGACTAATTAGTCTACAAGCCTATCTGTTAGGATTTATGGGACATTGTCCGTTTTTCTAAACAAAAATGGTTCGGGAAAAAAGAATTGTTTGGATGAATTATTATTATTTTTTAAAATTTTATTTTATGTAATACTTAATGTTTTCTTTATTAATAATTTAAAAAGAGTATTGTTATTAGTATCCTATCAATTATTTAAAATTTTTCATTTCTTTAGACTCTCACTTATAAATTCTAAAACCTTTTAAATTTCTTTTCTCTCCTCAAATAATATCAAAATTATTATTATAAAAATATTTTACTCATTCAGATGCACGCCGTCACACCCCCCACACCCTAAAAAGCCTCTCTCCCAAAATCCTAACAAAACCTACAACGGTGGAACCTCACAAAACTAGTGAAAAAAATTTGTGATAATTAAGAAATGTTTTCTCTGCTTCATTACGAGATTTGTTAATCTGTTTGATTTTTTTTTCTATTAGCTCTTTTCACACACACAACACAATTCACTTTCATACTTCTCTGGTTCATGGTTTGACTATACTTGTATGCTCTCTATGTAAGAAAAATCGGGTAGGATTTCATCCTCCGGTCAACAGGTCGGATGACCACCCAAGGGTGGTCCGATCTTCTTTGTTTGTATGTTTCTGCTGTTGCTTCAGTTATATGTTCCTAAACAAATAAGAAATATTCAGTTACCTGTTCCTGAACAAATAAACAATGTTCGGACTTGTGTTCTTGAATTTCGATCATATGTTCAGGATTGAAGGAGTTCAGTCCGAAAAAAATAATGAACAATTTTTATTATTTTGTCAATTTTTTTTTAAGAAATTTACCCTTACAAAGCCAATCTCCTTTGAGCTAGTTACACCATCAAAGTTGTGAACATTTTTTGAGTTTTTATTGTTATACTCTTCTCGTTTTATGGACTTGTGGTTGTTAGAAAAACTTCCACTCATTGCCATTGCCGAAAAAGTGTATGTAATCAAATAATTGCCGTAGTTGCCACCGAAATATTATCGCCAAAGGATTTTCAAGATTTTGAGAGTGGATAAGTTTTGAAAGTGGACTTTGAGAAAGATTGGATGGGTGGTGATGGAGGTGGGTGGTCTCTTGAACCTTAACCCATGATGTAGCGAGTGTGTAGATTTAATTGTGAGATGGGGTATCCCAACATTTTTGATGTCATTTTCAGTAATTTCATTTGAGGTTATTATTATAATAAATAAATAAATAAATAAAACTAAAAAATGAAGGATCTAAAATGATTGATAGAGTACTAATAGCAACACTCTTTAAAAATAAGGGATAATATCAAAACCATATTTATCTTATTTATTTTTGTGACAATACACTATTCACATTAATTTTGGTCCTTTTAATTTTTTTTAAAATAAAAGTTATTATAATTATATCAAAATTGTGAAACTTGTTGTATTTGAATTCACTGGTTTAGTTTAGCTTATTTTACATCCCAATATGAAAGAATTTAGAAAGCCTGTGAGGCTTATCATCAGTAATGTTTTGATGATCTAAACCGTTTATTTTATAGAGCATTCAATATATATCATTCATTAAAAAAAATTACATTGATCAAATAATAGTAGTTTTTTTTATTTTATCGCATTTGTCTTTGAAAAAATTAACAAATATGCTTTTTAAAATTGACTATTTATTTTTGTGAACACAAACACTATAAAGGAAAAAATTACAATTATCGGATTTATTTAATATTTTTTTATAAATAATATACATATAAAGTCCTACAAAATGCACGATTAAATTATCGAAACATGGGCCATAATGAGTCCTAAAACCTTTTCAAGTTCTATCATATTCATACTAGCAACTAACACACAATGCATATATAATTTAAATAAGTAACAATAAAAAAATTTAATATTATAATATTTATATTGCATGAGTGGTAAAAGTATTATCTGTATAACACTTTGCATAATTATTTGTTTTAAAAAAAAATAAAAAATCAATCACTTAGGTCAAGTTTGGGAAGACTAAATAAGTCTATATTTTTTATCTTTTTATTTTTTTTGGGTCATATCAATCAACATCTTCTCTCTATTTTTTTACACATCTTTTTATAAAAATTCAAAAAGTGTACTTATTTAGAACATCCTAAACAATCCTTTAATATAAGGATAAGCAAATGTTTCAAGACACTAACTAAGATTTCTGGTTAATAGAATTAGGGGTGGGCGCGGGTCGGTTGCGGCCACGAAACCTCCAATTCGTCATCCGTCTACCAAATTGGCGGGTTGAAGAAAATTAATCCGCATCCGTCCGCCAATCCGGCGGATGTGGATTGAGCGGATTGGCGGTTTGGCAGATGGATGCGAATCGGTTTGGCGGTTTAAAATTTTATAAATTTTCAGCATAGTTCAACTTGTGCACTTCCTCAAAAAAAAAAAATAAATAAATAAAGTATTACAGTCAATTACTTAAAAAAGTAATACAATTATTGCATGTCTCATCCAAAGAAAGAAAGTTTGAAACTTTTGAATATCACAATCACTGCATGCCTCATCCATATATTATAATCACAGCATGCTTCATCTACATAAAGTATTACAATACGTGATTCTTAAAATATAAAAACAATTCAAACCACCAAAACCATGAACAGAGTAATAGTAGAGATTGTATGTCTCTGTATTGTTACATTTCTATATGTTTTTGAAAACAAAAACCAACCAGCATATATCATATTTTCTATTTATTACTTTTAGAGTTAGATTTAAAAATCAAAAAATATAGATAAATAATGCGTTTATTTTTTTCAATTCAAAAAATATATTCAAGTTGAAAACTTTTTTTCAACAGAATATTTAAACTATTTTTCAATTGAAAACACAAACAAAATATTTAAACAAATTGAAAATACAAAGTCTTATAAATTGCTAAGGGTGCTCGTGGTTTGGCGGTTCGGTTGCAACCAAAGGAACTTCAAATCCGCCATTCGTCCGCCAAATTAGCAGATTGAAGAAAATCAATCCGTAACCGTTTGCTCGTCATCACACATCCGTCCAAAATGCGACAGATCAGATCTATTCAGTCGGTTTTTACGGATCTCCGCTACTCACTCCTAAATAGTATACCATAAACTTTAAACTTGAAAAAAATTAAAATTTTAAAGTATATGTAAATTATTATTTATTTATATTAGTAGAAAGAAAAGATAAAGGCATGGTTGTCTATTCGAATCAAAACGCCACACGGCAAAGATCCAACGGCGACCGACATCAACGAGTCCATACCACTAAGGACACGTGCCCTGTGAACGCGTCAGACAGCTGGACACGTGTCGATCAGAGGCTCATTTGTAACGCCTACAAATAAAAATCAGTGAAGCTCTTAACACTTGCTCACAGGTCAGAAGAAACAAGTCTCTCAATTTTCTGACCTCTACTTTTTTAGATTATAGCAAATACTCCTAATTACTGCCACTACAAAAACTACTTGAAAAATGGCAGACAAAACCAAGGTCCAAGCTGAGGTAATAATCGAGACATCTATTTAAGGGAAAATTACATTTCAGAGATTTTTTTTCAAATGTCCTAGTAGGACAATTGTGTCTAACATATTTTCAAAATCCGTTCTGCTTTATTATATAGATATATATATAATTTACCATTAATTTGAAAATATTCCCTACAAATTCACTGAAATGAAATGTTTATGAACTTGTCTATGAAACCCATTTAATTATTTTAAATTTATTTCAGGATTGAATTTGTATAGCGTAAAATTTATATGTAAAATAAATTTAAATCATAATTTTGAATAATTTTTATATAGTTAAAGTCTATTGCTGTAAGTTTAATTAGTCTTTCTTGCTTGCTTATTAATTTTTTATCACTTGACTACATGTTAGTAACCAGGAAAGTTGTTTAGAAAATGTATAGATGGTACAGATGTAGAGCTTGATGTATTTGTGGCTAACTTCTCTAGCAAATCTAGTCCATGTTAAATTTTGAATAATTTTTTTAGAATTTTTTTTTGAATGTGTAGTTTTACTGGTCTTCAAAGCACTGTAAATCTTGTGTTGTGGTATTAGGACTTGTTTTAGGCCCCGTTTGTTTCCAGAGATGGAATGAAAGGGATTGATAGTGAGGGAATTAATAGTGAGGGGATTGTTAGTGAGGGTCGTTTGTTTTCAGAGATAAAATGGAGGGGATTGATAGTGAGGGGATTAATAATGAGGGGATTGATAGTGAGGGGATTGATAGTGAGGGGATTAGTAAAAATTATATTAAATAACATATCATTTTAATATTTGTCTATTGGTTTCAAATATCTTGGGTCCTTTATTGTCTTTAAGGTTTGAAAGATTGATATATAGAGAATTTTTTTTATTTTTATATCGATATTTATTAATATATTCCCTCTGTCCTATTTTGATACTCTCTTTTGAAAAATTTCAAACTTTTGAAGCAGATAAGTAATTATTACATTTGAATTTAAATTTTAAAATATTAATTTAATAAGTACTCTTCTATTCTAATTTTTAAATCAATTTTATAGTTACTTCATAAGGAAGAACTTAAAAAATTTCTAAATTGAAGTGTTTTCAAAATGAAAATATATTTTGGTATAACCAAAAATAGAATAATGGGACTAATAAAATGGGATGAAAGGAGTAGTAATTTATAGTTGATATTAATATGTTTTTTACCGTTTATATGCTCTGCCAAAAAAAGTCTCAATAATCAGAAAACAGAAATAACTTTTTCTTTAATTTCTAAACAATTAATTTTTTAAATTGATTTAAATTATTATCGTATAATAGGAGAAGGCAGGTGTCGCCAAAGAAAAAGCGTCAGAAACGGCTCAATCCATCCAGGACAAGGCTGCGGCGGCCGCCAAGACCACAAAAGAGCAGGCCGCGGTGGTCGCCCAGGCCACAAAGGAGAAGGCGGCGGCGGCGGCGGAAATGCTGCAGAAGACAGGGGAGCAAGCGGTGACCATGGCACAAGGTGCAAAAGAGTCAGTTTTGGGGAAGAAAGATGATCCAAAGTAAACCACTACCACCCCAAAGGACTGCTAGATTGAATTGACATTTGGAAGTTTGTCTATTGGTGTTGTCTGTTTTTAGTTCTATATATGTATTTTGGTCTTTGGGCATGTTCTCTTGGCACTTTAGAGTAATGTATGGTGACACAGTCAAATATCGGTCTAGTTGATATATTGGTAAATATTGACATGAGTCCCAAATATCAATATTTATTAGCCGATATTTGGAGTCTTGCTAATGAAATGTGCTTTTAACTTCTGCGTCTCTCTGATTATATATCACTTTAGAATTCGGTAAATTTGATTATATGTCACTTGAATTTGAAATTGAAAATTTTAAATATTCGATTCAATAATCCAATCAGATCTATTTAAACATTCTATAATGTGAAAAGTAAATTTAACTGTTTATTGCGGATTTTAGACGGTAAATTGGCATATCATAATGAATTAAAATTTGATAAATCTATTACCAATACTATAACAGTATGAATTAAATTTATAAATATTTCATGGACTCATTCAATTTTTCATTGGAAAAAATTAGTAGGAGAAAATTTCAGAACAAAACAGCACCTCAAATTTTTTTTTTTTTTTGAAAGATTGTTTTTTTTTTTGAAAGACCATATATATTAATAACTAAAATATTTTAATAAAGAGAAGAAAGAAAGATAGCTAAAAACTGTGAGAGCTAATATTTTAATAACCCTAAAATGGTATATTCACATCTTTTAAAACAAATGCATGCAAAAATATTATATGTTTTTTTTCTTTTTATTCTTTTTTCGCTTCACTTTCTACCATTGTTATTTTTCATTATCATCTTCTTCTGTTTTCTAATCAAACCAATCCCTAGAGTTTGAAGCTTATAATGCTGTGTTTGGTTGGGGATTTGAGGAAGGATTTGGAAAGAGAAATGAAAATAGGTAGGTGAAATGTGAATAAAACATGTCTATATTTCACCTAGTTTCGCACACTTTTTCTCTTTTTCTTTCCAAATCTCTCCCGTAATCCCTCAACCAAATACAGTGTAAATGAATTTATGATGACAAAAAATAAAAAAAGGAAAGTAAACAAAATTTAGCATTTATTTCATTGAAAAGAATATTATAAAAATTGATAATCCGATATCTAATCCGTTTAATAATTTTTAAATTAAATGGATTCAAATAATCTGATTCGTCAACTGATGTAGATGGAAGTGTTGGTGGTGGCCTGTGGTGGATGAGAAGGGAGGAAAGGAGGCTGCATTATGAGAGTGGTGAATCATGACAAGTGGTTGTGGTCTACCGTGAGATTGTACAAGTGGAGAGGAAAGGTTGTTAGTTAAGTTGTGTTTATTTCATTTAGGAAAGGTGATTCATTAGTTGGGTGGAGTGTCCAAATGAATATTTTCCATCCTTCACTAAATCATAGCATAAAGATAGTAAACGAGTCATGTTTAGTTCCAGAAAATTTCATATATATATATATATATATATTATTTAGAAAATATAATATTTGTGAATTAAAAAAAATAAAAATTCCCCAGATAAAAAAAAAAAAACAAAAAAAAAAACTGAAAATTCAATACATTTTCTTATTTTAATTTTTTAATTTTTTTTTTTGTATAATTGTTTTTTTTTTTACTTTTTAAGTATTTTAAAATTAAGTAGATATAAAAATTTGATTAAAATATTTTAAAAAATTATCAAAAATACAAAAATATGAATTGAAAACTCAACAAATTATTTTTGGAAATTCAAAGTCAAACAAGATTGTATCCCAGAACACGATATTAATTTTGTTGTCAAATATTCAAATCCCCTAGCTCGATTTGTTTATGATAAAATAGGTAGAGAATAAGCAAAATAAAATAAAATAAATAACTTTTATGAGTTTATTTAGCATGAAAGTGATAGAAAATAGAACAAAACTAATTTTCTTATACAATACATTTAATTTTTAATTTCCTGAAAAATAAAATATAAAAACACAAGAATTATCTTTTTCTTACAAAATTTTCATCTTAATCAAAATTCTTATGTCACTCCCAAGCAGTCGATAACAAACATGGGTGCTTCATCTGTGAAATTCATTTTTATGTATCAATCAAAAGCCAAGTCATCGCATCCGTTGATGTCACTAAAGTCCTGCAATGGTTCAACATTACCGCCCTCTTCATCAGTTTCCATGGCATCCTCAGATTCCTTGTCTTCACTTTCATCGCTGTCCTCATAAACAATCGGTTCTGTTGTGGCATTCTCATCGAAACCATCCTCGACAGTCTGTATAAAGAACACATGCATTATTAAAATTTTGCACCTACTAGTTCCATTTATGCATTTAGAAATTACTCACCGCTGTGTAAAGCAAGTCTACGCAACTAGATAGTCGAAGAGCCGGATGGAATGTTGAAACTCTAGATTCTATGAGCTGCAGAGAAGCCAAAAAAATCCCATAAGAAATAAGTAAGGCAATACTGAAACAAATGAGATTAGAAAATTGATCATGCAATTGCGTTGAGCAATTTATTGAACTTGTATACGACAAATTGTACCCACACACAAAAAATTCATATCACGATATAGAAGGAAGAAAAATATGTTGTTTGCGAAATCATAAAATCAGCTTATTACAAACAATAAATATTATCTTTAATTGCCCATAAATTTACTAGTCGTGACCTGATATAAAGAGTTGAGGGCACTTATAGAAGATTCCTGGGACATTATTCCACTTGCATGTTGAAGAAGCAAACTCCTCAACCATGGAAGGGCACAAGCCACCCCTGCTCCCCTGTCAAGAGAATATATCATAAACAAATCATCAACCTCTAATATTGAAACTACAAGTTCGAGCAAAAAGAGGTGTGAATTTGATTATTGAACACTAGACAGACAAAAACCAACACAATATCACACTTTCTCAGCTAGCACTGTACAACCAATATAAATGACACATTGAAAATAACTTGATAGGTTCACTGAGTAGTGGGTGGTCAGTAGTGGTCCATTGGCTCTCAAGCACGAGTTAGCACTAAGAGATTCATCAAATATAAAACAGACAACGGATGATTAGTAAATAGTATGCATTTAAAGTCAATTCAAGCATGGAAATAGAAATATTGGTAATACTTGATAAAATGATCATTCATCAAATAGTACACGAGAATGGCTTTGTGCATAGAAATCCTTTTCATAACATTTCCCGCTAAAAAAAGTTAGACGTCAACATGAGTCCACAAAAGCACGGGACCAAATCATCAAAAGTTCCTAATACTAACAAACTAGTTGAAAATTTCATAATAATATGTAACATTCGAAACAATACTTCAATCCATCATACATAGGTATTATATAAAACCAATTAAGCCAAACGTGCTTTACCTAGACCGGATTATAGATATCAGTGAGTCTAAAAGTTTGATAACATCAGATGGATTTAATAGTGAGACTGAATTTGCAATCACCTGCAAGAAATACCAGGAGCGTAGTATTAGGTGAGCCATACCTTCACATCATTAAACATTTAACCAAAGAAAAAGGGACGAAGGGAGAACCTTATCATCCTGGGTATGTAAGCACTTTAAGATTAGTGCTCGATCATCAGCATGTAGCGCTTGCTTAAGCAAAACATGAACAGAATCCGCACTTGGAGGCATCACGTGCTGAGAAATTTCTTTTTTCTCAATGCTTTTAACCTCGTTATTCTCTAGTAAATTTAAACTTGCAAGTTTCTCACCCATGGTTGGCTCATTTAAACCCTTGTCAATTTGGCTTCCATCCATTGGCTCTTCATGAGCTGTATCTAGCAGCAAAGCCAGTTTATTGGTTAAAATAATCTGAATCGTTCATTTTATCAATAGTCATCTTATAAAAAGAATCCCAAAGATCTGAATATTAACACGTTAGCATAGCATGAATTAACGTCAATCAAAGATTCAACTTGACAATACAAAGTCCAATCTGTGAAAAATTAACTTCACCAAGGTTTTGGTTGTCATATCACCTGACTCACAAAAAGGTCTTGGTTTTTTCAGAAAAAAAAAAAAACCTAAAAACTAAAAACTAAAAAAGGATACTTTTAAAATGTAGCAGCACGTTTATTAGGTCATGGCAAACTTCAGCCACCAACGGAGAAGTAACCTCTAATAGTTTTCTGTTAGTTATAGCACCACAATGGAGAATGATAAGTAAGTCCTTTATGAAAAGCTCTTCCACAGGAATCTCCAGGTCGTTCCCAAAAACAGTCCCACCCAATAGTTCTAGAGCTGGGACCTCATCATCAAATAGAGAGACGGAAAGAACAAAAAAACTTCAGCCACCAATGGAAAAGTAACCTCTAATAGTTTTCTGTTAGTTATAGCACCACAATGGAGAATGATAAGTAAGTCCTTTATGAAAAGCTCTTCCACAGGAATCTCCAGGTCGTTCCCAAAAACAGTCCCACCCAATAGTTCTAGAGCTGGGACCTCATCATCAAATAGAGAGACGGAAAGAACAAAAGAGAAAATTAACAGACTGTATTCAAAGCTCATGTCAAGTTTGTGTTGCCTGTCCAAGGTCCCATAGCTAAGGCCAACAAGGTACTAATTAGAAATCATCTGAGACAGCTCAATGGGTTTCATATGTTCTTTCACTCCACATTCCACACAAATCAGCACAGTTTGAACTTTTATAAAGATGACTGGATTCTAAAGTACATGTGCTATGAAATTTTGAACTACATCGGCTAGACATGATTAGGCTTTATCTTAAAACTCCGGAAAAAATCTTTATCTTAAAAGCATCAACATATAAAAGATATGATTTCTTTTGTGTAGGCAAACATACAATACAAAGACTGACTCAACTGAGATCTGACCACATAATCAGTGTACATGTAACCTGCTTACCATTATCAATTGAGTTCTCTGTATCTGCAAGATCCGGGTCAGATGCTGCGCGTTTCTTATTGGATTTTTTCTTTTGGATTGGTACAGCTACTGCTTCTAAATCGTCTTCATGTGGGCCTGTCAGACAGTTTTCCGTATCTATACAGAATCATTAGAAAGAAATTCCAAAAAAGCACAGTATTTACACCATATTACATACATGTCACAAAACACGAAAGGAATCACTTGGCTTCCACAGTATACATTGTAACTCATGCTTAACTCTTCAAAAGGAAAAGTGAAAAGTTGTGACAAACGGACTGCACAGAAATGGTATGACTTGAATTCGCACCTTGTAATTGCTAATAGAATCAAAATTAGTTATTAACATTGAAACTAACATTCTTTTAAAAGATAAAATTAGACCAACTTTACGAGTAGAAATCGTGACAAAAAGATTCCTATAAGTTAGAATCGTGATAAAATTAAACATTTTCAGCAAACTGAAGATTGAATTGAAAAACCAAATGAAAAAAATAGAAACGGTTTCCCACCAGACAGACAGACAACATCACAGAACTAGATTGATAAAGCATCGAAAAGTTAAAAGAGCAGCAATGAGAATAATTCTCATCAAAAGACAAATATATATATATATATAAAGGCAAAAGCAAAAGCAATAAAGACAAAACTGTAAACAAAGCTCATAGGTTTTTATATTCCAGCAAGAGAACAAAAGTTTGCCTCACCTATTCCTGCAACAACACCATTTTCTTGAATAGTCTCACTACTTGTTTTCTTTGTTTCATCTCCAGCAGTTATAACAATGTCCTCCACTGGGTTACTAATGTCCAAGAAAGAAAACTGTGGAGAATCTGTGGAACCATATGCAATAAGGGCAGTCACTCGTCCATCGTTCTCTACAGCATGTAATCTGGCAGCCATTATTGAAAAGCGACTCTTCTTTCCACTATTTTGCAAGTCCATTTCACCTTTGCTAGCTTTAACTGTCACCTTAACTGGACTTATCTCCTCCTCAGAGATGGACTTCAAATTCCACACATGAGCTACACCTGACTCTGAAACCGAGAGGACAACTAAAACGTCCTCTCCATTGGTACTATTCTTACATTCAAATGCAATAGGAGGATGTCTCATGGAAAGAATAGGTCCTTTGCTTATAACTCCAGTACTCAAATCACACTTCCACACTTGAAGATGTTTCTCGCCAGGCCCAGATGTAACAATGGTCTTGGCAACATCAGAAATGGAAATATGCTGCACCAGACCCTGAGTGATATGGACAATAAAAAATGTTAGTTCTCTGTGATTTTTATGTGTTGTCCAACAAATGTCAAGAAACTAAGGTAACTTGCCTCATTGGTAGAAAACTTCAACAACTCTTTCTCATTTTCCCAATTAAAAATTCGTATCTTACCACTGGCTATGGCTAAGATTTTCTCATCTGCCATAACAAATGAAGAAATAAAGTTAAAAACAAAAAACACTGGGTTAATATTGTAGAGAACTGCAATGCCTTAATTACTCACCACAAAAGGCTGAAGAAGATATATGAGTCTTTGAAACTTTGAACTGCCTTACAACTTCCCCTGTTTCTGAGTTCATCTCAGTTGCCACTCCGTCATTACCAACTGTATAAAGAATGCGGCCTCTATTTGTAAAAGATAGACCAGCAATGCCACTATGCAGGAAAAGAGAGAATAGTATCACTCATCAAGCTGTGCACTAGAGGCCAATGTAACAATACACTTGTGTTGCTTATGCAAAAGTTACAGACAATGAACTTCTCATGTATGAGTATTTAGCATAACTAACTAGCGTACCCAGCGTGACATGTAGATTTCCACTTCTTCTCACCACTGAAAACATTAACAGTCAAAATTTCACCAGCATCTGCGCCAAGAGCTAATAAGCAAGTGCCACGCTCTTTGCTGCGCTAAAAGATTGGAAAGGAAGCAAAAAATCCAAGTATCACATACTAACTCTGTTATCAGAATCTTACAATTCGCGATTCGATTCACGATTCGATTTACAATTTTTGTAAAATCGATACGAATCTATAAGTGAATCTCTTTTTTATCAAAATCTTACGATTCGCGATTCGATTCACGATTCGATTCAAATTTTTTGCAAAATCGATACGAATCTATGGGTGAATCTATTTTGGAAGTAAATCTCTAGTGAATCGCACGATTCACAATCGATTTACGATTCAATTCACTTTTTATGATTCATGTAATTTTTTAAATTATTGGTCCGGCATATTTTCGACTATTTTTTTTTCCATGTTTTTAGTGAAAATGACATAATACAACTTTTAATAGCGTTTAATACTAAAATAACCAACATATATACATAATTTGTTATTATTTTAGTGATCATGAAATTTTTAATAGAATCCAATCAGATTCGGTCAGACCCAACATATTTTTAACCTTTCTTCTCATTTTTTTTTTCCCTTTAAAAATTCATAATATATCTTCTAAAGATGTGTAAGATTAAAGTTACAATATGAATTATCTATTACTATTTTATTAAATTGAATATAATTGAATATTACATATGTGAGGTCTGTTATACCTTTGAAAATGTTTTAGGCTTTAAAATAAAATATTCTAAATAATTCTTTCTTATTATTTGCTCACTGTTACTTAGAAAAGTACGTATGCTTATTGTCCAAATATCAATATCGTTATTAATTATTGTTATTTTGGAAATTGATAATTTGTCTATTTGGTTATTATCTTTATTAAGAATGGTTGCACTATGCAGGAAAAGAGAGAATAGTATCATTCATCAAGCTGTGCACTAGAGGCCAATGTAACAATACACTTGTGTTGCTTATGCAAAAGTTACAGACAATGAACTTCTCATGTATGAGTATTTAGCATAACTAACTAGCGTACCCAGCGTGACATGTAGATTTCCACTTCTTCTCACCACTGAAAACATTAACAGTCAAAATTTCACCAGCATCTGCGCCAAGAGCTAATAAGCAAGTACCACGCTCTTTGCTGCGCTAAAAGATTGGAAAGGAAGCAAAAAATCCAAGTACCACATACTAATTATACCAAATTTGTAAGCAACCAAAACAGGAAACAAACAACAATCTTAAGGTCTTTCTGAGAGAGCATGATATCACCTTCTTCCCAACAAAACTACAAGCCATACAAGAAAAACTATCATCAGAATCAGCATCTGACTGACTCCACTCTGCCAATAGACTTCCATTACTTGTGTTCCAGATCTGCAAATAATGCATCAAGTTTTTTTTGTGCATTGGGATTATAACATATAAAAGTACAAACAAACATGTATTACACCAACAACATTGTCACAATATTTCCTTGGTAAATTCCAGCAAAAACAATTTCGAGGTATTTAAGTATAAAACCAAAGAATAAATTCTTGGAAAACACAAAAACAAAGAAACAAGTAAAGAAAAAGTTTTTCCTGTCCTGAATTTATTTCCTGTATTCTTTGGCTTTCCATGACAGTAATTCACAAATGAAAAGACAGACTAATATTTGCTCAGAAATGCAAAAAGGAGTCAGAGCCAAATTTGAGATTTACACAAACTCCAAACAACTTTTTCCTGAATTAATTTCACTTCCTAGGTGACAGATGTGGAAGATAAGATAAGAGAACTGATAAAAATCAGTTCCAGAATAACCAAATAAAAAATTAAAGTTACTATGAAAACAAAGATTAAAAAAACATAATGCAAATATATGATAAATCTGATTGAGTCAGTGAAATTACATGCTTCTAACAGTGCTAATTTTCAATTTCATACATGCTAGTTCAAACTATTACATAAATGTGCACAACACTAGCAGGAGTTTTGAACTTTTGGATTGCACTTGTACCCATCTACAATTCAATATGTAAATTGATATATCAAATGTCTAGGTTTTCCAACTCATTGTTACAAACTACATAGCATAACTGATTCATACTCAATCAAATTCACAAGTAAATTTAGCAAAATGTTTAAAAACAACCATTTTTTTTTTTGGTGTCATTTTTCTAATCCTTCTAGTCTATTTAGGGGAAAAAAATTCAGTGATCACAATATTAGTTATCCTTTGTAATGAAATTCCCTATTCATGGTTTACTTTCTTATTTTAGCACTTTGTCCTTTTCTTTTAATTTTGTGACAAAAAAAAGTAAGTGATAATACTAATTTACATTGGCACCTCTATGAAGATTAGAAAGTTCTTAGATCCCTAAATTCAAGCATAAATGAATACAAATAAATTTCAGTTGATACCACCAGGCACTAAAATACTGAAAGGGGGAAAAAAAAGAAAGAAAGCATAATTCATATTCACAAACTAAAAACAAATGTGAATAGCATTGCACAAACAAGAGTTGCAACTTACATAGACACACAAAAGAACCCTAGAAATAATGAAAATTTAAGTAAAACCCCAAAATGATCCAACTTTAACTAAATATTGGGTAAATTGGGGTAGGGAGGGCTCAACACGACCCTTATTCATGTTAAAAATCAAATTGATGGGACATGTACTTATAGAAATGATTGTTTTTTAAATTATATCTGTCTGTCTATTTTTTAAATTTTTAAAAAAGATAAATGTGATTCAAAATCCAATGGATCTTAATTTTTTTACATAAATATTCTCCTGTGTTTTCATAAATTCTCCCCAGTAAAGTTTCCTGAAAACCCTACGTATATGAGTATATATATATATAGAGAGAGAGAGAGAGGGAGAGAGAGAGATGACCTTGACGAGTCCGTTAGGGGATATAATGGCGAAATAGTCGCCTTGAGGAGTGAAAGAAGTGATGAGAGATTTCAGTTTCAGTCTCGCCATGGAAGAAAATCAGAATCGCAGAGAGAATTTTAGAGAGAGAAGGAAGAAGAAGAGGAGCTGCGGAGACGAACGAGAGGGACAGCCGAGGGTTTTGAGCAGCCTCACCAAGGGTTTTGCGGGGTTTTGGCTAGAAAAACAGCAAATAACCATTATTACTCTTTACCCCCTCAACTATCGCATTACTGCACTAAATCCGTAATTTTTTTTTTTTTCATATTCATTTCATTTTAAAATATTAGTCATTTATTTTATTTTTCATTATATCAAAATATTAGTATTTTTTCAAAAATTAAAGAATAAAATAAAATAAATTTACTATTTTACCCTTTTTTAAAATTCATTAATAACTGTAGGAGCCGAATAATGGTATACGTAGGAAAACCAAATGAATTTGAAGAAAATCAGGGTATATATTATTCGACTCCGTCCTGAGGGACCGTGAAGCCGAATAGTTAAATCGGCCATAGAATCAGACGTACAAGAAGCCGAGTGCGAATAGGCACACAACAAAATGGCCGAGTGAGCAGTTATACGTTGGATTAAAAGTGGGCCCAACCTTCGAGACCAGAGACGAGTATAAAAGAGTGGAGTATCAACCAAAGAGAGGTATGTGAGACAGAAAAAAAGAAACTTAAGACACAAACAAGTGAGAAAAGATATATACTAACTTGTCCGTCGAAATGCTAATTTCGGCACCCTCGACCGGAGTTTTAATCCTTTTTTCAAGTGGCAATCAGAGGATTAGGAACGTCCTTCAGGATCCAAGAGTATTTTCAAACCACTTCTCCACAATTGGCACCGTCTGTGGGAATACTCAAGCACATCCATAGCGGGCGTCACAGAAGATCCTCCGGTAGTTGCTGACGAAACTACGCCAAAAGACGACTTCACTCCAAGAAACATGCTTGGACCGGAGAATATCGCCGCACGACGGGCCTTGAACTTCGATTTAGTAGCTCAAACCTCACCCTCAACTTCAATGCATAAGACAATGCAGGCGATTATGGATCAAACAAAGCAAAATGAACAGCGGCTGGAGAACATGATGGCTGAGAACAAGCGCCTGTGCCAGGATTTGGCCTTGGAAGTTGTAAAATCCCAACAAGCCTCATGCCAAGACGGGGGTTGACCTTCGGGAAAGAAGGATGATCGACGACGTCGACTTCGGAAACGCAATAATGACAGTGATTCTGACTCACTATCCCCAGAACCCAGAAAGAAAGGACGAGTTGATGTATCCAGCTCATCTGAAGGAAATCCGTATGTACGGCATAAATGAGGGAAGAGCAATGACTTGGATGAGGAAGATAAGCATGACCCCTTTGTGCGACAAATTGCAAGGGCCGTACAACCCCAAAAGTTCAAAACACCGTCGTTCACCCTCTATGACGAAAAATCGGACCCTACCGATCACATTCGCCATTATAAGCAAGCAATGACACTTCATGCTGACGACAAAGCCCTCATGTGTCGAATGTTTCCAAGCAGTCTGGAATCGTTGGTCGTCATATGGTATTAAAAACTGGAACCGGTGTCGATTAAGAGCTTCTATCAGCTCCAGAAGTCCTTTAGGGGTAGATTCATCACTAATGAGATCCAGCCAAAGCAAGCCGATTCCCTCTGGGCGATGCAAATTAGAGCAAGCGAAACCCTTCGTGAATATTCGGTGCGCTATTAGGAATGCTTCAATCTGGTAGATGATGCTTGCAATGACTCCATGGCCATCACCTTCTTTAAGATGGGATTGCATCCTAATGGTCCCCTCCGCAATTCATTAACCAGACGGCCCCCCAAAACAGTCTGGGCGTTAATGAAGAAGGTCGAAGAATATTGCAAAGTGGAAGACGATGCCCTGTGGGTCAAAGACGGACATAAAGTCGTTGAGACGGCTACGTCGGGAATCGTTCAATTGATTAGCATCGTGCCATCAAGAAGTCTCGAGCTGCGGAATCGAGCTAAACGAGACAAAAGGCGTGACTTGCTCCAATCAAACGATCAATGTTCACATTGAGCTAATAAACAGTATCGAGTGGATAGCAGGTGCACAAGACGCTCAGGCAAGAAATATGCAGAGTTAATAGAGCCGATCAGTAAGATTCTGTCGACCGCCCAAGATGACAGGACCTCCCGATACAAGAAGACGGGATAAACGGTATGAGTATCGTAAAGACCACGGTCATGACACCGATAGTTGTTATGCACTAAAGGATCACTTGGAGGAGTTAGTGCAAGACGGTCGTCTTACGCAGCACGTCCGAAAGAACAATCCAACAAATACAGTAGCTCTACGGCTGGATTCACCTCCTCTTGGTGTAATTCATATGATATACAGCTTGCCGACGACATCCAAGGTGCATACAATTCAGTTGCAGTCTAGCCCCCATAGCCCAATCACGCCAGTGAAACGGACCCATGAAACTGGAAGGATTAGTTTCGATGATAGTGACTTAGTTGGAGTAACTCACCCCCACACTGATCCCCTTGTCATCGAGTTACGCGTAAACAGATTTACCATTGAGCGTGTTCTCATTGACCAGGGGAGCACTTCGAAAATAATGTATTACAAAACTTTTTTCAAACTTGGCTTCACTGACTCGGATTTGTCTCTCGCTGATTACCCGTTATTCGACTTCAATGCTAACCCGGAGTATCCTTTGGGCAAAATCACACTACTAGTTCGGGCGGGCACCAGATCAGTAGATGTAGAATTATTGGTTATCAAGCTTCCTTCGCCGTATAATCTCATCATGGGAAGAACTTGGTTACATACAATACAAGCCGTGCCAAACACCTACCATCAACTACTTTGTTCTTTGACTGAGTATGGTATCGAGCAAATTCGAGTTTCTCATAAATCAGCATAGGCATGCTATCTTCTTGCTACAAAGAGACCGAGGGAGTTGGAAGTGCATTCAATTGAGGTACCGGATAGGGAAAGCCTCGAAGACATTGGGAAGACCCCAAGTGAAAAGGCAACTGAAGCCCTGGATTGGATCGAAATTGACGGGAATCCTGACAAGTTCTTCATGATCGGTGCTTCCCTGGATAAAGTTGAAAGGCGAGAGTTAGTATCCTTTTTACTCGGCAATATCGATGTGTTTGCATGGTCACCATATGAGATGCCAGGAGTGGATCCATCTATGGCCCAGCACTGTAGACACCTCATTTTTGACCGACCTTAAGACTTAGATGTCATCGATTGAGCGCTCTGTGATGGCGTATGTTGTGCTCATTTTGAGTCTCCGAAGTTTTAGCTAAAAGCCTTGCCTCCGGGCCTCTGAACTCTTTTGTGCTTCGGCTCGGTTTGTGGACCGAATCTTGTTTTCTCTTCTCAGAGGGAGGGAGTGGTCTTGTAGACCATCTCTTTGTGGTCATAGATCACTTTTTGTGGTCGTAAGCCACTTTTCCCGTTTGGAGACTAGTTTTCGATTTTTGGAGCCTTTGGCCGCGTGCCTTGGCTCGGGACCGTTTAACGTTCTTCGTTTGGCGTGATTTTTGAACCACACCTTGTTGCCTCTGCCTAGAGGAACACTGTGGTCCAGGAGACCACTTTTGTGGTGGCATACCACTTTTGATGTTCGTCAGCTAGTTTTCGGGGCTTTCAGCCGCGTGCTTTGCCTCCCGATCTCTCTTCTTGCATCCGTTTTGGTTTGTTTTTAGTACAAACCTTATTTTCATTGTTTGGAAGGTGGTACAAGGGTGGGAGACCACTTTTTCTCCTTGGAGACCACTTTTCCTTCTGCCAGCCAGTTTTCTGGTCGAATAACTGGCTTGCTTGACCTTTGGGCCACATTTTCTGGTCGGCCACCACACCACTAGTCTTCTTTCATGCTCTAGACCTCTCCCATCTATGGCCGACCAGTTGTTGCTCTGGAAGACCACTTAAAGTGGTCGGCTGACCACTTTAAGTAGCAGGCTGACCACTTCAAGTGGTTGGTTGCTTTTTGGCACCTTTTTGGAGATATTTTCCTCCAGCTAGCACAGTTGGAGGGCGTTAGAGCTATCCTCCATACACGTGTATGGAGGGATTTGTTTGAAGCTTAGCTTCTCGAAGAAGCTTTGCCTTTTGGTTTCTATAAGAGGGAGGCTTCTCCTCCCTCCTCTAGGTTCAGAAAAAACTTCCATGAACCATACATATAATCTATATCTATACATCTTCATTTCTCTCTTGTTTTGTGCCTTAAAGTGTAGATTTGTCTCACTTTTGTACACAAACACACACTCAAACACCTTGCTTATGTTGCTGAGGCTTCTTGAAGTTGTTTTTGGTGTTCTTGGGTTGGTTTGAACTTGGAAAACTTACTGAAGTTGCAGTTATAAAGGAGGTCTTCAAGGGTGAGTCTTTAGCCCTTAAATCCCCCATTCTTGCTTAACCTTTTAGCCCTTCTTGAATACATTTTTAAGCTTAACTCTTAACTAAAAAAAGTTCTATTTTTTCATTCTTAAGATCTTTGTTTAAGGTCACTTTTTCGTTTAGGGTGATTTACCCCCTCTTAGGCCTTGTTTGGCCTTATTTTGAGCAATCCCTTTAGGCTCTTGTTGAAGCCTTTGCATGACCTTTCTACCACTGAAATCTAGAGGATTTTCAATGGTGAAAAGGTGGTTTTGGTGTCCTAAATAGGAGAGGGTCATCCCCTCTCCTTGTATTTTGTTTACTTGCTTCATATGCCTCATGTTTGAGCATCTTTGTTAAGCTTTTGTTGACCATATCTTAGCTTGTATTTGTGGTTATTTTGCTGAGGCATACCACTGTTTTTGCTTGGTTTGGTCACTCCATGCATGGTTAATACACTTGTAGTGTAAATCAACAAACTAGCTTTATGTGCTTCATGAAATAGCATGCCATTCTAGCTTGTTTTCTTTCCATTTCAGCATGTTTTTGGTGATGTTTTGCCATGTCATGACCCTGTTTTGGTTTGGTTTGGTTGACCTTTGCATGCTCCATGCACTTGTAATGCAATTCCATAAAATAGCCTAACATGGATCATGCTTTAACATGTCTTTTTAGCATGCTTTTGGCTTAACTTAAAGAAGATTTTGTTCATGTTTTACCATGTTTAAGGTCTGATTTTAGTTTTTTTGGCCATGCATAACTTGCTTGGTATAGCCTTGGTTCATTCTAGCTTGTTAGCT